GTAGCCTTAAGCTCGAGTCTAGCACGACCCCGTAAACGTTAAAAACGTGTTACTTTCGTAGCTAATCTAAGCTATGCCCTAGAGCGTTAACTAGCTATCTAGTACTATTCGACGATATTCCTCTTATAATTTCTAATATATATCCTAAGGGATAGACTTAGCTCCTTTCTCTTATCTATTATTTAAAGAAGCCACCGTCTATGCAAGATTATAAATCGATTTAAACCTATAGTACTAGTATTACTTAATAATAGCGTCGTCTTTGCTTCCATCCTCGAGCTTTAGAAACTCTATCTTTTATAATATATCTATAACGGTGCGCCTATAGTGTTTTCCGAAACGCTCGTTATCGTAAGGCTCGTAACCCCGAATTAAGTAGTAGTAGACGGATCCGATTATAAACTACTCGGTGCGAGGTCTAAGGGTATCGAATATACTATAGTTAGTATCTACTTTTAGTCCTAGTATCCTCGCGTACGGCGCCGTGCTAACGTCGACTTCTTTACCTACTCGCGTAGTATTATTAAAATCGCTTAACTTTAGGTAGTCCTTAGAGTCGAGAAGTAGATTCGAGGGCCGTATATCTCCGTAGGCGAGTCTAAGGGACTTTAGCCATACTACGGCATCCGATAGCTTAGCTATCTACCTAATAATAAGATAGGGAGGTTCTTTAGCCGTAACGTTCGCGACTCGTTAGGTGTCCGGGTCTCGGACCTACTTTAACTACAGCCGTGCTTTAAGGGTGCCTCCCGGAAGAAGTTAAACGAAATTTAAATCTAGGAGCCGGAGAAAACTACGGACGATATTAGGGCACGGTAAGTACTACTTAAGTAGGTCGAAAACTAAGTACTCGTTTTTTATACCTGCGTCTTAAGCGGTAATAGAGCGCTTAAGAGTAATCGTATCGGTAACTTTATAGACGTAGCCTACCCCGCCCTAGCCGAGGAGTTAGCATCTAGGTAGTAGGGTTAATATTTTTATCGTAGGGTATCGTTTATTATTCGCTGTTAACTAGAGGACGCGGCGCGACGCGGTACGACGCGGTATAGCTTTACGACTAGGGGCGAGGCTAGGATAATATAATACGAGTTACGTAAAAATAATCGACTAATAATAGGCCGCGTAGCGCGATATAGACCTCTTATATATTATTAATCGACTACTACTTAGGCTGTCTTAACCTATTTACCGTTCTCGTCTTTAGCCTACGTACTTATAGCAATATAATCGTCGTATAGCTTCCTCTTAGTAGTAGTCCCTATATTCTACTTAGGCTCGAATTTTCCGTAGTTATCTTCGTATAGAATTTAAATGCCTCGCGATTCGACCTTATTACTATATCTTATCCTCGTCCTCGCCATTAGCTGCCGATATATATTAAGATATTATAATATAGTTTAGCGCGCGGGTATTATTCTTAGAAGGGGTCGTTATCCGCTTGCGTAACGCTTAAGTAATAAAGTACGCGTTCTAATAGAGAACGGTTAGCTGCGTTAAATAAAAGTCTAACGTAGTAATACTTACCTTTAAGAAAATACCTTATTAAGGCGACTAAGTCCTTTTAATATCTACTATACTAGTTTAGGGTCGACCTTTAGTAGAACGATAGTTTAGAGGAGTAGAAGAAGATAGCGGCTATAGTAATATATAGCTAATATACCTACTTCCTAAGCTAGGCCTTAGCTTAGTATCTCGAGCGGGGTAGTACTAGTATCGTTTATCTACTATATTAGCTATATATCGGTAGCGGTAGAGGTACGAATTAGGTAGACGGCTCTAATTACGCGTTTACTCTTACGGCTTTCTACGTCTCCCTTCGTTTTCTAGTAGTAGATATATAAGTATATTAGGTAGCACTACGATGCTCCGCTTATACTACTATAGTACGATAACGTACTCTATTAGGACTAGTAATATATTCTTCCTATATATATATACTCGGGTATACCTAATCGGTGACTCGCTTTTCTTATAGATTATAATATAGCTGCCCGTACCTTTAATAGTTACATCTTATATTAACGGAAGAGAAGTATCGACTCTATAACCTTTCCCTAATAAGGACGTATCTAAAATGCATAAGCTTCCTTTCTAGCGAAATTTTATAGATTGCTTACCGTATAATAGTATAGTGCGTTTCGTTTACGCGCTATATAATTACGTTATATCTTAACTAGCGTATTATCGTTAGTATCGTCGTTAGTGCTATAGTATAAGAAAGTATCTAAGTCTAGTTTAGAAACTAAAAGCTTTACGAGACGCCCATTATTTAATATATATAGGGGGGATTAGTTAGAGTGACTATAGTCGATTAGATAGTAGATTACCCGTATCTCGGGCGTATAGACGTAGCTAGCGTAAGGCGGGGGTTAACGTTTCTCTTACCGACGCTATCTAACTAATCGCTCTCGGTATTTCTAAAAGAACGACGGGCTGCGATATTAATACTATAGAATAGAGCCATCGGCGGGAGACTTATTAACGAAGATAAATAAGTATATAACTATAATATTTTATTAGTAGTAAGTACTTAAAAGCCTTTATTTATAGTATTATCTAGTCTTCCCCGAAGGTCTGCTATCCCGCCAGCGTAGTTTTATAGTTAAGGCAAGAGGCGGCTTCTAGCTATATAGTAACCTACCTCCTTTTAGAGATAGAAGGCGGATTTCTACCGGGCGGTAAGCCGCCTTTACCCGTATAAGTTAAGAGGCAGGTTCTTATATACTAGCGACCTATTAATGTACGCTACCTAGGCTCCCTCGCCTCCGTAGCGCCCCGCTAAGCTCCGGTTAGACACCCTCTCGCTAAAAGAAAGGTTGTAAAAAGCGGCGGGCGGTATACTATATTCCCGGTAGCCGGCCGGTCTATTAAGCACGGAAGCTAGTAGCTAGAAATAGTAATTCTAGCGATACGACTAGAGGCCGCGCACGCACTTCGTACTAGGTAGAGGACGGAATACTAGCTTCCAGCCTATTAACGAGGTAGTTGGCTAGGCCGAAAGCTGGCCTCTAGCGCTTCCGTATAACCCAACCTCCCTACCGATCTCGAAAATTAAAAGTAGGGTTAATAAAGTTCCGGATGCCTCTCTTCTACTCTTTAGCGATCTAGTGGCCGATCGGCTGTTTATATCGAAAAGATCGGCCACTTTTTACCTGCTCTATCTATCTCACAGCTATATACTCTTATAAAGCGGGCTCTATATTGACCTATAGCTATATAACGTATTATCTCTACTAACGTGTAATCGTACGATTCTACTTATCTTAGTAATTTCGCGAGGGGCCCTCTTCGGTAAATAACACGGCTACTAAAGAAAAGTAGGAAGCCTAGACGAATAGAATGGGCTCCCGTAGCGCTAATAACTCACCGCTACTCCTCTCGCTTCACCCCTACGCTATTAGCAGCGGGGGCCTCGACGCTACTACCTGGGCGCTAATATAGAGATAGAGCCCCCAACTATTAAAAACAGGAATACCGCCTTCCGTCCTAAGCGCTGCGTATAGGTGGCAGTGTCCTGGCATCCGCCCGGCAGGAAGCTGGCATTTGTCTGGCAGAAATCTGGAATTTGCCGCCTAAATGACTGGATCCGGATTTAGTGCATCCAGCCCCCTTAATTCACCTGATGCGTCCTTCTACCAGCCGGGATGCCGGTTAAAAGGTTAAGGCAAAAGTGTGGTGAACGATCGTGATAACCAACTACACCACCATCGCAATGCCAAGACTTGAGTATCTCATCTTTTGATGATAGATTAGTTGGGCTTTGTGTATATGTAGCTCTAAAAAGTTAGATTTATGAGCTGGGCTGCGCTTTTGCGATAAAAGTGATGGTAGTGGCGATGGTAGACGTCGGTTGGGTAGGAAGTATTGAGATTCAAACTCGTGGTTCTTTTCGCCGCCGTTTACGCTGTTACATAGTCAACATCCGCGGGAGGGCTAAGTGAAGCACCGCGGTTGGACTATCCGACTAGGTACTGCTGACAAAGGGAAGGACGTCGGGTAAACACCCAGGATGATCGGTCGAAGGAACCACACGTCGTGGCAGGCGAGACGAGAGACAAGAGACAGACAACAGGGAGGTCAAAGAGACGACGAAGGAAATTGATAGTTGGTTGTTGTCGTTGCTATGCCGCCTAAAGAAAACGCCTTTATATCATGCCTCGCTCAGACCGGTGGTTGGGGCCTCAGAACTCAGGCAGGACCACCATTTCCGCTTCCTGAGTGTAGGGACCTCACCATGCATGATATCACCCGATCCTCCACTACCACACTACGTGAGTGAGGACGAGTGTAGCCGAGGTTAAAGCGACGAAGGCGGAAGTGATACAGCGCAAGCTGGGGCGGCGAATGGGAACGGATGCGGCGGCCACGGAATTGCTGCGGCTATAACACGAGGAGTCGTTGTAGTCGGAAGTTAGCATGTAGTTGTGTTGACCACCAGTCCGCGCCATCGCGAGAACGCGAACCCACGTGATGCAAGACAGCCAATCATCCTTAGTTTGAAGACTACAGATGCTCAGGCCCCAGCACCGGTCTCGAAGATATGCAAGGTACGAGCTCAAGCTAGGATCAGGTGTCCATCCACACTGACCCCAGATTTGGAGAGAACTCATGTACTAGACTACTCCATCTCACGTCCGTCCTACTTACTGTACCCATGTGCGTATTGGACCCCCAGAATGTTCCAAATAACAGCGTTGCAGCAGAGAACACTGCCCGCGTCACTGGTACACGAAAGTTGAGACACTGAAACACATAATGAGAAACCAATCGTCATGGATCACATTCCTCCCTAAAGGAGGGCGCTATCATATACCAGCCACCCATTGCCGTTTTGCTCTTCTTCTCATCCCATCCTTCCCCTGCCATCTCGAAAAGAGAGAGACTGTCTCATACAATCCAAGACAGCGTTCTCATTGCCTTCGAATCCATACCTGAATGTTCCGTTTGAATTGTTGCAGCAGTAGCAGTAGCGGTAGCGGGAGCAGCATCAGCCGCACCCCTTACAACTCGCTCTTGCCCTCATCCTTCTTACCGAACAGCTTCAGAATGTTTGTCCTGCTGGTCAGGTCGTCCACCTTCTCCGGCGCCAAGCCGCCCTTCTTCAGCATACCCTCGAGACGACCAATCTCCTTCTCCGCATACTCCTCATTGGCCGCAATCTTCTCGAAGACCTTCGTGTAGTAATCCTTGTACTTGCCCTGTGCCGACGCGGCAACCTCCTTCGCCTTCTCAGCACCATCGGCCCACTTGCCGTAGAACTGCTCGACGACCTCATTGAGCGCCTCGACGGTGCCGCCGAGCGCGTCAAGACCGCCGCCGATGGCGCGGTGCGTGCCAGCCTTCTCGTTGAGGAAGGTGATGAAGGCGGCCTCGGAGCGGCCGCCGCCGTACTCGATGGGCGCCGAGTTGCCCTTGGGGAAGAACTTGATGGTAGGGTACGACTTGACGCCCTGCTCTTGGGCCGTGGCCTTCGCGTTGGGCGCCTCGGCATCGACCTTTGCGATGACGACGTCCGGCTCGAGCTTGAAATCCTGCGCGAGCGTCTCGTAGATGGGCGCGAGGCTCTTGCAGTCTGTGAGCATCAACAGGAGTTAGCAATTGACTCTCTTCTCGTCGAGAAAAACGGACAGGAAAATAAAAAAAGGGGGGAAAGGCTGCGAGAGAAATGGAGAACTGTAAACGGGGTAGGGTACTTACGACCACACCACGGCGCCGTAAACGCCACCAACACATCCTTCTCACTCCCCACCACCTCCCCAAACGACTTGTCATCCAACATCACGACCTCACTCGGCGCCTTCGCCTTGCTCTTCGCCTTGACGCCGCTCTTCTCCGCCACGAACGCCTGCAAGCTCTCCAAGTCCCTCCCGCCCTTGTAATCCTCGGGCTTGTCGCTCTTCCCGTCGAACCACTTCAGCGTCGGGAACCCGCTGACGCCGAACCTCTGTCCCAGGGACCGGTGCGCGTCGGCGTCGACCTTGGCGATGGTGACCTTCTTGTCGGCGGCCCACGCGTAAGAGGCGCCGAGCTCTTCGTACACCGGCGCCAGGTTCTTGCAGTGTCCGCACCACGGAGCGAAGAATTCGACGAGGGCCGGCTTGCCCGACTGCAGGACGATGTCGTCGAAGTTATCCGGCGTGAGGTCGGCGACGGTGGCCGCCGCGGCGCCCAGCAGCGCGAGGCCGCTGAGGAGCGTGGAGACGAGGCGGACCATGGTGGGTGGTTGGTTTCGGTCGTGTCGTCTCAATCAGGTGAGGGGATGGCTTGCGGGTTGATCAATGAACGGGATGGATTGTTTGAAGAGTCGGCTTGAAATAGAAATCAAGGGTTTGGTAGGCGGCGTCAAACCTGAGGGAGACGTCGGTGACAGGTATGTAGCTTCGTCCAGGCACGGCGCGGCTCCGGTCGGACTTTGGTTGGTCCGGCCACGTTTCGTTCCCAAAGAGGAAATCAGCTCTCCAGCGGGCGCTTATCAATCATCCGTGGAATGTCGCTGCCACGACTCTCACTAAGCAAGCGATGCAGGCATTCAAGTTCCGTGTGTTCAATTAAATCGCGTCAGCTTCGATTTCAAAGCTGGCTCCATAGTCTAGGTCTCGTCCAATCCAACAATCAACCAAAAGCTTGCTCAAGCTAACCCTTCATCAACCAAAATAAATGGCATGCGTGTGCGAATCAAATCCCAAATCCAGGTATACGAATGAATCGAATCAAGGTGCCGCCTTCCCACAGTTCGTGCAGACCGAGATACGGGTCTTGCCCGAGTCCTTTGTGTTGAACTTCCTGCACCCACACTTCTTGCATTCCGTCCCCTCTCCTGCCCCTTCCACACTGCTTTCCTCGCTGCTCAACCTACTCACGTAGCTGACCGATTTGGCCAACGTTGGTGATGGCTGTAATCTAGAGTGCTCCAGCTGGCTGCGCCAAGCGTCCTTGTTGTAGTACGCGAATGACTTATCGCCGTGGAGCCACATCGGGTTGTCACTGCTCGACGGTAATTGCGGCTGCGACTGAGATGCCAGAGCCCCTCCTGATGTCTTCGGTCTTGGCGGGGAGTCCGATACGTTGATTGACGGGGTGCTGTCTCTCGTCCGATGCGGTAATGGAGGCATGTCGGGAAGCTGCGCCTTTGATGATTTAGCTGATGAGACCATGGAAAATTTGCTCGGAGATCCACTACGGTCACCCTTTCCTGCTTTCCCGCTTTTGATGCTACTCGAGCCTGAGATATCCTGTCGCCACGACAAGATGCGGTCCGTGCCCGTCGTTGCTGTTGTAGCCGTCGAATCGCGCCGCTTGCTGCTTGCCCGTGTTTTGGTGGAATTGCTTCGCCGCACTCCAGATCCCGCTGTTCTCCGTGAAAATACCGACGATGTATCCCAGTTGTCCGGCACGTTCTTACGCTTGCTGTGTGCACAGTCTTGGCGGAACACTTTGATGTTACCCTGGTAGTCGGCTGTTACGATGATTTGTCCGTCGGGATGCGCTGAGCGTGCCATGTAAGCGGGCGTGCCCTCGGCCTTCTTTACGCTCATGGGAGTCCCCTGCAGACTACCAGCCTCGGACGCTTGTTTTGATGATCGGGATTCGGTCCTGCTCACGAGCGTGACCGGCGGCGGGTTGCAAAGGTCGTACACAGGATCCTCGGAATTGCTGAGCAATTGACGCGTCTTTGTCGGGGCGAGGATCGCGCATGTCGTTATGGCGTTGTGCGCGTCGAACATCTCAACCGGTCGTTGGCTCCTGTTTTCGCCGTCGCCTGGTCCAGTTGACCAGATGTAAGCTCTGCGATCTTCGCTTCCACAGATGACATATGTAGCATCGTCACTGAAACTCGCTCGTATCTGGCTGTAGTTGTTCTCCTGGCCTCGAAACTTGATCTCAAGACCCTTGTCACGGAAGCTGTACAGCCGAATTCGCGAATCGTTACTCGAGATCAGCAGCTTAATGTCGCCAAGAGTCGCCCCAGCGCCGACGTGCATGGCCTGAATCCCTGTGATTTTGCTGCCTTTGGCATTTTTGCCGCGTGATGACTTTACATGGATTTGGGTCTGATACTTGAGGCCTTCCGTATCGTAGAACATACAGAGCCCGCTGAGCGTCCCCGCGATCGCAGTTTTACCATCTGGCGTAAAGGCAACGGCGGTAATCATCTCCGGCAACTGATTCCAGAACGCGACAGTCTTGTCGGGGATGCTCCAGAGACGCAGCTTGCTGTCGAGGGACCCCGCCAAAAAGAAGCGGTCATCCTTCGGGTGGAACTGGATGGATGGGACGAAGTCGGCGTGCTTGAAGGTGCAGAGACACTCGGAACGGCTGATGTGCCACAGGCGTACGGTCTTATCCATGGACGAGGACAGAAGGAAGTTGTTCTACCGATGTCAGATTCCGCCCCGTGATGCCTGCTGACGCCCACCTACCTTGCTCCAGCTCAGGTCCAGAATGGTGGACTCGTGGCCGATATATTCCCGATAGGGTTTGTTCTGGAACACGGGTGCATTCACATGCAGTGCTTCCCCGTCCTTCTGCGTTCCCGCCTCGGAGATCTCGTGTGCGGTCCGCTCGTCTGGGTTCGAGATGACAGCCCACACGCGGAGGACTCCATCTTGGCCTCCGGCGGCCAGGTACTTGCCGTCTTTGCTGAACTCCAGAGCCCAAACGGGCCGCTCGTTGACGTTGCTCGTCCTCGGGGGTGCGGTCGTGTTGTTCCTCACACTGGCGCCGGAGCTTGACGGCGGTCGCTCAGCATCTTGAGCGGGCGGTTGATTGGTGCGCAGTTGTTGAGCCAAGAAGGTGCGGTCGAACTCGCGCTCCTTCTTGAACTTGGAGCGGATCTTGATGTAGCCCGGTGGCTGGGGGTGGCGCGGCTGGTAGCCGATGCTACTGTCGATGGGTTGGGAGAAGAGTTCGGCGTCCATGCCTTCGGGTCTGGTGTCGCTCGCGGCATCATCGGGGAAGGAATCGTCCTCGTGCTTCTTTTTATTTCCAATGATGCGGCTCAGAAACGAGACTCCCTTCCTGTTTAAAATAGGGTGTCAGCATGGCCTCAGCCCTGCGCTTACGTCTGACACAACTAGCGGGGGACGCCGCAGTACAAGCCACGCCAAGACGTCTCTACAGGCGCGGAGAATATACGTATTGAGGAATTGAGCGAGGACGACTAGTGCGCGGGGTGGACGGTGCTGGAGGGCTCGGCTCACTTCTTCGACGGGGCCAGCGAGACGGCATCGCTGCGGTTCGCGTCCCTGACCGGCTTGGGGCCTTGCGAGCCGTCGCCGGCGAAGGGGCGCGCGGTGGACGAGGCATCATCGGCCGTGGGGCGGAGCTTCTGGAGCACGTCTTGCGAGGTCTGGGTGCGCTTGAAGATTTGCTGGTCGTGTGGCAGAGTGTCAGCTGCGCTGTCGCGTGCAGATCTCAATTGCCCGGGGACAGAAGCTTGCGCGCACCTGCGATAGGGGGTCGATTGGCGCTCGGTCAACTTCGCCGTTATTATTATTATTGCCGCTGGCTTCGGAGGTGGGTTGGCCATTGCTGGCGCTGGCATTGGAGGCACCCGACGGCGCGGATGTTGCGGCTACGCGCTGCGGCTTCGTCGGGGACGTCTTGCCGCTCGACTTGGATCGCACTGCGCTCGATTCCCCGCGGTCAGCCTTCAATGCTCACTCCCCACCTCGGCGGGAACGGGGTCTGCCTCGTACCTGACACGGGCGTCACGCAGCGCTCCTCGTCGCTCACGTCGTGCGGCGAAGGCGATGGCTCGTTCGAGGCGGGCGACGCGCTCAGCGGCACCGAGTCGCGGCTATGCGGGTCTGTAACGCGAATCTTGGGCAGTGCGTCGTGCATGGTGGTGTTGGCCTGTGTCCTGGGTCTACCGAAGGGTGGATGCGACGCTCGAGCTCAGGCCTGCGACCTCCAGGCTCATAATGGGTGTTTCAGGGTGGCGAGAGCCGTTGCTGCCTGCGCTGCGTGGCCGTGGGCATATCCTGCAGTGCGGGACTGGTGATTGCGAGTGGTTGGTGTCTAATACGATGCAAATGAGCGCAATTCCACGTTACATTGCAGCCGGTGTTTGGCTGGCTGGAACCGGCACAAACAGGTGTGACATCAGCGGCGGCCACGCCCACGAGAGCCTGCGCTGGTCTGCTCTAGCCGCTCCACCATTCGCTCGTCTCGCAGAAACACCTCGGTCCACCTCGCACCGCCCCAACACCAACACCCTCCTCGCACAGCCCCCCCCACTCCTCGCATGCGATGGCTGCCTGGCTGCGCCCTTGCGACTCGCTTCGGCCCCGTCTCCCAAGACCGTCTGAACTGTCTCTGAATCCCTTCGCTTGCTCATTAATCGGGTGTCACAAGTGCACGATTGTTTCCGATCACTTGCGTCAATTGTGTGGTATCTACGTTATTTCGGCGATCGACCGCTCGAACCATTATCCTAAATGAAGCAAACTCCAATCATTCCCGTCCTGCTGCTTTCCATAAACGCCATAGTGTGTCCTCCCGAATGTCGTGAATAAAGTGAGATGAATGCATGCGCTGCCATGCGCATGCCCGGCTCTAGTGCCCCCAATGCTACCCGCGTCCTGCCGGCCAAGAAGTAAATGCGAACAGCAAAAGCGGAGAAGAAGAACCCGTATAAAGATACAAGGATATAGAGCAACAACAAAAGAAGCGTCAAGCGACACGTTTAGAAGTCCTCGTCGAAGGCGAAGTCACCGGACACGGTGGCCGGCGCGCCGGTCGTGGTCTCGGGCTTCTTGTTGGACTTCTCCATGACGCCCGCCTTCTGGTAGTCACCAACACGCTTCTCGAAGAAGTTGGTCTTGCCGTTAAGCGAGATGTTCTCCATGAAATCGAAGGGGTTGGTGGCGTTGTAGTACTTCTTGTTGCCGAGCGCCACCAGAAGGCGGTCCGCGACGAACTCGATGTACTGGCACATGAGCGTAGCGTTCATCCCAAGGAGAGCGACGGGCAGCGCATCCGTGAGGAACTCCTTCTCGATGTCGACAGCCTCAATGATGATCCTCTCGACCGCCTCGGGCGCAGGCTTCGACTTGATGTGCGAGAACAGTAGGCAAGCGAAGTCGGTGTGCATGCCCTCATCACGGGAGATGAGCTCGTTGGAGAAGGTGAGACCGGGCATGAGACCGCGCTTCTTGAGCCAGAAGATGGAGGCGAAAGAGCCGCTGAAGAAGATACCCTCAACAGCTGCGAAGGCAATCAAACGCGACGCGAAGGTCGAGTTCTTGTCGCAGATCCAGCGCAGAGCCCAATCGGCCTTCCTCTTGATGCAGGGAACTATGACGCGTTAGTGACCCATGCTCCATATTCTTGTGTGGGGTATATCATACTGTTGTCGATGGCATTGAACAGGTAAGAACGCTGCCTGGGCTCGCTGATGTACGTGTCGATGAGGAGCGAGTAGGTCTCAGAGTGGATGTTCTCCATCATGATCTGGAAGCCGTAGAAGCAGCGAGCCTCGGGAATCTGGACCTCGGAGCTGAAGCGCTCGACGAGGTTCTCGTTCACGATGCCATCCGACGCGGCGAAGAAGGCGAGGACGTGCGAGATGAAGAAGCGTTCGTCGTCGTTGAGGCGCTTGTTCCAATCGTGAAGGTCCTTGGAGAGGTCAATCTCCTCAGCGGTCCAGAAAGAAGCCTCGGCCTTCTTGTACATCTGCCAGATCTGCGGAGTTGTCAATGACTAGAAAACACCACTTTACGCGTGACGCATCTTGACGCGTCGGGTATGTACGGACCTCGTGGTACTTGATGGGGAAGAGCACGAAGCGGTGGGGGTTTTCCTGGAGCAGAGGCTCGTGGGCCTCCTCCTTCCTGATTGTGGGCGCGGTCGAGGGATGCTTGACTTCTTCTTCTAGATCGTCCTCGAGGTCGGGGATGCCCTTGACGGGGCGGGCGACATTGTCATCGTCCCACTCGCCGGAGAAGTCCAGCTTCTTGGCGGGCGAGTCATTCATGCTGAAATCGGCAATGGCAGAGGCAGCCTGTGGCGCGTTGTTAGCTCGAAGCACTTGGGATCAGACTCTGACGCGCTTGATGGCGGCAGTGGCGATGGGACTGACCATCTTGGAGGGGGTAGCCTGGGCGGACATGGCGAATGCTCTGCAGAGGAACGATCGGGAAGAGAGGCAGCAGAGATTTGGCACGTGGAGGCAAAAGATGCAGTAGTGAGGATGTGCTGGTGTGGGTTGCAGACAAAGCGCGCGCCGCGGCTTTTGAATGCTTTCGCGCCAAGGGACGCGCTAGCCGTCATCGACGCGACGCGATGCCCACAACACACGCGCTCACCATCCACACACGCTCAACGTGACCACAACCTGCCCCAAGCCCGGTCCTGCGCTGGGACCACCGCGTTTTCCCTCCACAGAGCGCAAGCGTTCCGCGCGATATCGGGTCTCGGCCGCCGCAACCCTTGCAATGGCTTGGGAAAAGCCTGCGCGGTGGAGCTCTTCGCCGACAATCCCTTCCAGCTCCTACCCTGATCCGGCCATTCCTGTCTCCATCGTCCCGAGCTTCACCTGTCCGACGGCGGAGCTCTCTGTCAGCTCTGACAACAACCTTACGTGACCATCCCACCTTCCCACTCGGATGCTGCGCTGCCGCGCTTCGAGAACGCTTTAGTCCCGCCTACGTCCTCGGAGACTGCACCTTGTCCGATCCGGTCACCACAGCCAAGCCGTATTCGTTGGGTCCGAGTGCATCAGACGCGTCTCGACGCGTCTTCCAGCGGCTATCGACTGCCCACACTGCTGATCTTTGGTCCACCATGGTACCACACTTTTCATTAGCCCATTCACATGCAACACCACGCTGTATAAGTCGTCTGTCCTCACCAGACGCGTCAATAATGTCACCATCGAATAATATCACATCACAGTAAACCCTCAAGAATGCATGTCTGCCATTGGTCCGCAATGCTCCCAGCTTCCCATTCCAGAAAGCTTAACTGATATGCAGCAAAAAAAAAAAAAAAAGGCTTGGATTTGACATCGTCATGTTCTCACGTTAGCCGTCACATTTCATTGCTTCATTGACCAGAAGAACAAAGGGAGAAGGGGGAGGAAAAATCCAAGCTGGCTGTCATGCTAGTACAGTAACCCATCGTCAGACATTGGCAAGAAAAATTTGACGTCTGCAAACTCCATCGTCCGCTACTCTCATGATGATCACGACAGGCCAACAGAGTCGACACTTGCCATCACGAATGTGGAGACAAGCGCCACATCGCCATGGCAGCAAGCATGAGCTTCTGCTCGACTACTCGCCCTCTGCCCCACGATTACGAGACGAACGCGCCGCCAGCCAGCAATCCATTGACCGCCTATGGCGCCACCAAGTCCCCACAGATGCTCGTCAAAGAAGCCACTTCTTGACATGTTGTCTATTCGCATACCGCCGACACTCTCACTATACTTATAAGGAGGATTTCGGCCCCGCTTGCATCGAGAATGGAGGAATGTTGTGGGCGTTGCATTCCGTTGGCCAAGTCCCGAATGATGATGGTTGACAAATTGCGCATACTTGCAGAGGCGATGGTATAACTGAGACGGTCTGCTTTGTCGGCAATGTTGCCGCTAAACAGGCATTGAAGCACGCTGCGATCTGTACCAGCGTACTTCATGTGGAGTTTGAGGCAGCCAAAACCGACCTCGGCACGTCTAGGATGATTATTTGGCTGTCATGCAGCATGCATTGGACTGCTGGACGGGAACATCTTCGGGCATTGTCACAAAGTTTTCCCTGCGAGGACAATGTCAATTACACTGATGCGATATCATTGATCACAACATATCTACAGGCACTCATACCTTAAGACGCCGCCACCTCTCCCCCAGGATATCTCGCAGCGCGTCAACTGCAACAAACCACGTACAAGCATAGAAGAGAAACGTCTCTCGCACAAAACCCCTCACCACGTAATCACCGCCTTGACAGTGTGACCTGAGTGCATCTCCTCCACGGCCCTCTCCCACTCATCCGCCTTATAAAACTTCACCAACTTCTCCACGGGAAACTTGCCCGCTCTATACCACTCGATCATCTGCGGCACGTACTTCGCCGGCACGACGTCGCCTTCAACCGCACCAATATACTGCTTACCGGAGACCATGAACGGGAAAATCTGGATATCCAGCTTCGCGTCGAAGGGGGTGGAGCCGACCTGGATGAGCTTCCCCTTGAGGCGGGTGAAGTCCATGGCACGTTCGATCAGGGGCAGGAAGCCGGTGGTGTCGACGGTGACAGACGTGCCGTAGCCGTCGGTGACGTCCTGCACGGCGGATACGATGTCGAACAGGTCGGCGAGCTTGGACGTGTCGATGAAATGGGTGGCACCGAGCTGGCGCGCGATGGATTCGCGGTCGCTCATCTTGTCGATGCCGATGATTGTTTTGCAGCCGCGGAGCTTGGCAGCCTGTTCGTTGCTCACACACATCTTCAGTGACTCGCTTCCACTGGCTTGGAAAGTGTTGGGGGACGAGGAGAGGGGAGTGGAAGTTGTCTGCTTTTTCTTACCATGATGGCGCTCAGCCCGACGCCGCCAAGTCCTAGCACTGCAACCGTGTCTTGCGGTCCGGCCTGCGCGACGTTGACGATGGTTCCGCTGCCGGTCTGTATGCCGCAGCCCAGCGGCGAGAAGAGTCTCAGTTCCTCGTCGTCCCTCACGAGCCCTCTGACGTTGACGACCGACGTCGCTTTGACAATCGTCCGGCTGGCGAAGCTGGATTGGCCGAAGAAGCTGCCCTGGAGATCTGGAGTTGACGGAGAAGAGGAGGGAGAGGCGGAAGACGTCGACGAGTCGGATGAGTGCGACGACGATGATGAATGGAAGCAAGGGCAGCCGCCGAAATTGAGTTCGCCGAAACGCACGCAGTGAGCCGGGTGGCCGGCCTGGCAGATCTGGCAGCTGTCGCAGAAGGTGAAGGAGAGGAGAACGGGGTCGCCGGCCGCGGCGACGGAGACGTTCTTGCCGATTTTCTCGATGTACCCAGCTCCTATTTAATTTTCTTCGGCGTCAGCTCTGCAACTCAGTTTTTCTCCCGCACAACCCAGTATACATATGTCAAGCCCGCACCCGGCAGTCATCTCCACGAGAGATAGGGGGGGAGAAAAGAGGAGTGAAACATACCTTCGTGTCCTTTCACCGAGGGGTACATGACGCCCGGTCCCTCTTTCAATCCTCCGAACAAGATGTCTGTGTGGCAGATGCCCGACGCGACAATGCGCACCAGCAGCTCGTCGTCGCCCACGTCCCGCACTTTCACGTCTTCAATCTTCCAGCCGCCGTCATTCAAGGGCGCCCGCGAGACGATGGCTCGTGCTGTAGTCATGTTTGACGAGTTTCGTGTTCTCGAAAAAAAATAGAAGGATTTCCTTGTGCTTAAGGGTCAATGAAATGGTCGAAGCAGAGTTGAGAAATGGAAAAAAAGAAGCTGAAATCTGCGTCAATTACAGAAAGAATCCCGAGCTGTAACGCGGAATGGCATGTCTTTATAGCAGATACCCCGGATCCGAGAAATGGTACCAGAATACCACCAGCGCGGGGCCCCATTTGGAAGGACCGAGTGGCGGGGGATCTGCAGCGGGGCTTAATCGGTCCCATCCGAGCTCCTGGGACTGAGTGACACAACCGTGCAGCCAGTCAGGAAGAAGCCCATGGCAGTTATTAACCGTTAGCGTATCGCCCGTTCAGGCAGGCAGGAGAGCAGAGGGCGACACCTTCTCGCTATCCCTGCATCTTCGCGCTTGATGCCAGAAGAAACAACTGGTGAAGGCAATTGATGACAACATTTCCTTGCTCCACAACGACCCCCCTGAACGAGTTTCTTTGCTGATCTTCGGCAATTGCGTGCGTTGTTATTGGCTTGGCACAGGCCCAGACTTTGCCTTGCGCAACTACCGCACATCAGCCGGGAAGGACCGAGGGTAATGGCAGTCGGCTGGCGAACGCGGGTCGGGAACAGGCTTGCAGCCCGCATACTACCCGTGGTCCAGTGCCGGGTAGGTGGGAATGAGAAAGGAGCAGAGATGAAGTAGTAGTTTGACTGCTTCCGTTGTCTGATAAAGTATGGTTTTGACTACTATGGTTAATGCTTAATTGGGACACTGGGCACTTTGCCGCCAGTCCCACGTCACCTCGATTTTCTCTTTTTTTTTGCCGGTTTGTATAGAAGTGTGTCGGCGCGCATCTCTGCGGGTGGGATGGGATTGAGTGTCACATGCGCTCCCTGACGGATAGGGAATTTGGTATTCTAAATTTTTTGGTCATCTTTGTCTGACGCAAAAATACAGTGAGTTGCAAAAGCAGGTAGCACTTCTCCAGCATGTCCAGTCAGGAACGTTTCAAACTGCTCGCATAGTCGTAAACTGACTACGTCTGACTGCTTCGATGTAATTCTGCATCGATTCTGGCTTCAACTACCTATCTACGTCGGGAGCGAATTACCCTCCGCGGGACATGGAGGCGGTTCAAGTTGTTCTAAAATTCACTATGGCGATTGGCACAAGTTGATTCAGGCAAAGGTACGGGTACCCGCACAGACTTGTGGTGCATTGCACTGGGTACTCTACTAACCCCAGCAATTTCCAGACCTTTCTGTTCAATCCCCCGCCCATGAATAATCCGATTCCAAGAAGCAAACCTTTTGCTTTCAATCCACCAATCCCTTCCATGTAGCTGTGTGTCCGTTGACTCTTCTTCCACCTTCTCGTCCGACCTCTCCGCATAAGCCCCTTCACTTCCCCCCAATCTGCTGCTGCTGCCCATCTCCCTGCAACGTAGCACCCTTCTTCTGCTGGTCCTTCTCGCCACCACCACCACCCCCTCCTCCACCCACCTCCACCTCCACCTCACCCATCGCCCCACCCCCACCCTCACCATCCCTCAAAAACACATCCCTAAACCCCCTCGCCCTCTCCCACACCTCCCCCCTCACCTCCCCCGCATCCTCCCCCTCCGGCCCCACCTCCACCTCCAACAGCTCAATCCTTGCCCACCACCTCCCCAACTCGATCGCGCACCGCTCCCTCTCCGCCTCCCTCTTCCTGCCCCCCGCCTCCCTCACGACCGCCTCCTCTTGCCCCACCGCCATCTCCGCTCGCGCCGCCACCGCGCCGTGCCCCGCGGCGCGCTCGTCCAGCACTTGCGCCTGCAGGAAGAGGTGCGATATCTGCGTGTGCAGGGCGCGTTCGGCGGAGCGGGCGCGCGCGGCGGAGGTGCGGGCGGAGAGGAGGAGGGGGCCGTGCGTGGTGAGGGTGTGGTGGGCGGCGTGGAGGGTGGTGTGGGCGGTGTGGGAGAGGGCGTTGAGGGTTGAGGCGGTTGGTGGGGCGGTTGGTGGGGCGGTTGGGGGTGTCGTGGGTTCGGGCGCGGGTGCGGGCTCGTTGTTGGGGTGGTGGTGGTCGTGGTGGTCGTCGTCTGTGGTGACGCCGCCGGGCGGGGTGGGTCGGGTCTTGTTGATCTTGGCTGGCCGGGGGGTTTCTTTGTCGGGCGTTGCTGCTGTCGAGGTGAGAGTGGGAGTGGGAGGGGCCTTGCGCTTGAGTGAGGCGGTGCTGGTAGAGGCAGTGGTGGGGGACTTGTTCATGGGAGACTTGGTGTTGTTGCTGTTGATGCTGTTGATGCTGTTGATGCTGGCTGATGGGCTGGATGGAAGAGGCGCGGGACTGGTGTGGGGGCTGTTGTCCTCGAGTTTGATCTTGATCTTGGCCTCTTGTTGTTGCTGACGCCGGGCAGGATGGAAGATTGGATTGCGATTGGAAGACTGTCGCGGCTGGTGCTGCTGCTGAGTACGGTGGCTACTGCTGGGAGCAGCCGGCGGACAAGTGGGCTGAAATGGAGTCAGCCTTGGATTTCAAGCTCACAGGTGGATACGATAGATGGGGCAAGGTGCTGGGTTACTTACTCGCTTGGGAGATTCAAGAGTGGCGAAGCCACGTGAGCGAGAAGGTGCGCGTATCGGCTGTCGGTTGGCTCCTCCAGTTTCGTGACCGGGTGAAGTGGTGCTCACTGTGCGCTACGAGAGTGAGCAATGAGAACGAGAACAGGTCGGTGGGGAAGCAGCTCACGCGCCTGGGGTCGCTCATGATGGGCGGAATGTCGAAGGCCAAGGAATCTTGCAGGTCGGGTGACGACGAGGCTGAAGTTTTGGGGTGGAGCAGACGCGACGAAGCGGGCGACGTCGGACGTGGGTTGGAGGAGGCTGAAGAGGTGGCAATGGTCGAGGGTGTGGGGGGAGGAGTTAAGTAGCCAGCCGTTCCCATCACGGTCACGGGTCGTTGACGCCGGCACTGCGCCTTTCACATGCATGCTTGTCCGCGTCTGACCATGACTGACAGCCAGGGCTCAAGATTGACTACCAAGCAGAGCTACGGAAATCATAGATTCTCACCAGTTGCCCCAGAATCTGCCGAGAGATGATCACAAAGGGTGCGGATCATCGTCCTGGGCAAGGCGTTGAAGGAGAGCCAGGGTAGGAGCAGTACCAGCTTGCAGCGCCTCATCGATACCTTCCTCGGGGTGATAGAGGGCGAACCTCACGTACACAATCCAGGCCCGCTTAAGCTTCTCGATCTCCTCTTGCAGGTGTTCAAGCTCCTCTGCCGTCGTGACGAATTCCCTCTCTTGGTCCTGGAGCTTCTTCTCGTGTTCGCCGAGCTCCTTCTCCACGTCGGTGAGCTTTTGCAGAGCTTCTTGCACCAAGTTGCGCGCCTCGTCAGCCATGCGCGAGGAATCGTGCACGAGGAAAGCGCCAGCATGCGCGCCCCGAAGCTCGTCATTCACCCGTGCCAGGTTCTCTCTCATGCATACCGCCTCGTCGTACTCCGCTTTCGTCTTCTTGATGGCATCCAAGCGCTGCTTCTTCTCCTCCGCCATCCTCGGCTTCATCTCGTGGAAGTTCTTGCATGCCTCCAGGTGCGTCTTGCGCATCTTCTCGAACTTGTCCCTCTTCGAGGTCCAGAACCAGGGATAGATGGTATCCGGCACCTGGGTCATCTTGACTGCGGTTGAGTTCACCTTGATGATGGCCGTCCTGATCTGCGGGTCTACGAAGTCGAACGCCTTTGTGTTATCAATCGCCTTTCCGTCATGTAGAACGAGAGCCGACTCACGAATGCTTCGGTCAAGAGCTCCTGCCTGGTCATGTCCATCTTTGCCAAGTATCTTTTGATGTCATCGCCCGGCGTTTCAAGGCTTCGTTTGTGCTGTGCGTACGTATTCTCATCGACCTGTACGAGCAAGAGTGTGCATCAGTCATGGCGTACTTTGGTTGAAGGTGAGGTTCGGGGGTTGGCCTACGCGAAGGTTGTTGAAGCGGCGCTTGATGTCCTTCAGGCACTTCTTCATGGCTTCAGTAGAAGGGTCGTTGAGTCTCGATATGGATGGGTCCGGCTCGCTGCGACGTGGTGTTTCTTGGTCAAGCGTTGTTTTCGGGGTGGCGAGGCATACCGGACGTGGACGGTGCCCCGACTGGTCTTGGTGAGGAGGGCGGAGGTGAAATGGAGTAAGAGGGTTGACCCGGTAGATATTTGTGTCTTGAAAAGTGGGCGCGTGCGCTCATGTGCAAGACGGGTGTTACTTTCAAGATATTCCGTGTCGGCGACTAGCGTGATGTCCACCAAGTGACGCCAACGTCTGTCACCTCACCAGAGAGGCATCATCATCACTCACCAATGTGCAATGATGCTTTGAGGACCTTCTATCGAATTCAATCTGGCTACTATACGCAACCGTCAGTGGCCCAAACCATGTTCTGGATACCACCGCAACCCTGCACGCATGTTCTACCAAGGGCAACACAATGCCAGTCCTTTATCGCCGATTTTCGACTACCCAATCTAGATAATTCAAATGTGATCCGACCAATCTGCCTCAGTTCTCCGTCAGCTTATGCAGATGTGGTATTCGCATCAAGAACGCCGGAGAACCATATCGGCCAGCCGGTCGATGTCACTCCCTCTTCCTATTCTACCTGACGGTTCTTGCTTGAACCTTCCACCTGACCGCTTTCTTCCCTCTTCACATCCACCGCCACCTTATCTTTCACTGCCGAAGATGCCTCCAGAGGACTGCACTTCTCTTGAGCCTTGTTGTTCGAGCTGGCGCGGCCTTCCTCCATCTTCCGATCGGCCAATTCCATGCCCTGCTGTTCCTGGTCCGACGGAACCACCACAACACCATCACTGTCACGAGTTTTAGACTCCACGCCCTCACTGCCAATGTCGTCCGTACCCGGAAGCTCCCCAGCTTCCTGCTCAACGACGACCTCGCGTATCGGCACTAACCTTCCCCCAAATTTCTCCACCACCCCCACCAACAGCTCTCTCGGATTTTCCCACTCCATGAAAATCCCAGCCACCTTGTTGATAGCCGCGTCCTTCCTCGCCTGTCCGACTTCTTTCTCAATAGCCGCCTTCTTCGTTCTCATCGGTCCAAGTTCCTCGTCAAGCTCAAGTTTCCGCTTTCGCAGTTGGCAGATCGCCAACAGCGCCTCATCATGTTCCTTCTGCATGTCTTCGATGCGGCGGGTGGTGTCGCGGAGACGGATGTCGAGGAGCTGGATGGTGCGCTGGTCGGCTTTCTTGGAGTCGGCGATGGAGGTTTTGAGGGTGGCGAGGGAGGAGGAGGTGACGGCGGTGGCGGTTGTGTCGGGCTGTGGGAGAGGTTTGGGGCCGCTTTCGCTGGTGCTTTTGTTGCTACTATCGCTGCTGTTGCTGTTGGCTGCCGTGCTCCCCCTGGCTGTTTGTTTAGTTTTTGCCATGCTGTGGTGAGTTTGAGCGGGTGCTCGATCCAGGGCTTTCGTTGGTGGGAAGTGAGGCCTATCGGAAGCCGCTGGTCTGATGCCCGTTTGCGCTGGGTCTTTGCTGTAGGTACAGGGTAGGAGTGAGAGATGGGAACCTAGCGGAGGGAGTCTCCAGGTCGGATGTGTCACAGATATCTGCTGTGTTGCAACCTCACCGTCCAGCCCACGGTAGGCGATAGCTTTGTGAGATCGAACTGACAGCCTGAGGGTGTATGTCAAGGTCGTCGAGCTCAGATGCGGGTTGTGATAGATATGACAAGCAAAGAAGTGTAGATACGTTGGGCCACGGCTGCCATATTCACGCTGTCGGACGGACGTTTGTGGCAATGCAGGTCCCTAAAGAGTAGGCGCGTCCTGCTAGGATCTCTACAGCACAAAATGATGATGGGGAGCATCAATGGACAGCATTATATCAAGACAACCCCACAGCCAGCGCCTCCCGGTACATCAAACGGAGAAGAGAGGCCAAATGAGTGAGAAACGGATACCTGAAGACTGGCTCATCAGAGGGAATGACTGCTGTCGGCACATTGAAATTCCCTCACCGCCGAAGTAGCCCGGCATTCGCGTCTAGCAAACGGAGGACATGGGCTTTACATGCGCATCAAAGAACAGCCATATGACCAGGCTGTTTACCACTGAGGACAGCTCTTTAGCAGCGCGAAAGAATACAAGTGCCCAGTCTGCCTTTGAAGTACGCGTACAATCTCTTGGCCACCTTGTTCGCCTGACACTACGTGCAAGGTACGCGACGCAGAGGGCTGTGCCTCTAGTGCCCGCAGGTCCACTGATGCTCGAGGCATCGTCGTGCAGACCGACCCAGGTAGGCGGGAAAGCGAAGTGTTCGGATTGTCTAACTAGCGAGAGTGAAGATGCAACGTGACGTGCTCGGTGCCTCACAATCCAGATACTGCATGATGCCGATCGCGACACAGGCCAGGTGTTTGATTCAGCATCAACAAGAATGGGGCGCAGGTAGACAAGGCGAAACAGAAGGGGACGGTGGGGGCTGCGCCTCCGGAAGGCGAGTCTCATTGGAGCCAAGCGGATCGGACAAGAACAGAGAGTTACACGCAGTGGGCTGTGTAGCTGCGAGGTGGTGCTGGACGGCCAAGTGCCGAAACGGCCCCGGTGGTTTCGACTGCGCCGCCGGGCAGAAGCCTATCACAGGCCGATCAGCCCTGACCGGTGTGCCCCAGGCTCGACCCGCCTGCACCTCGCCCGGCTGCAGCGAGCACCTCGTCGACGAGGCTGAGGACGCACTTCAGCTTAAGATGGCCCGCCTCGCCACTGCGGACGCGCAATATCCTCGCATCCACAGCGATTCCGCGGCGCTCCCGCCGCTTGGTCCGGCGTCTATTAATATCTCCCGGCGCAATGGCAGAGCGCCCTCTGCCAAGCCTCGCCGATTCTGTGGTGACGGGCAATCGCCTGCGCCTGCAACGCTCCACGCGTCGCCAGCCAAGTCACTGCGACAAGCCCATGGCCAAGCCCAAGTATCAGAGGGATGCCGACCGCAGGCACCGCCAGTAAGTGCGACCAATAATCACCCTCGCTCCGCCAGACGCTCGGCCGCCAGACGCTCGGCCGCCTGACACCCACCCGCAGTCCCAGCCATGAGGTCAAAGTAGAGTTAAGGCCCAACACCCAGCATGAGGTCATGGCCATCTTGGCCCAGCTCCTCGGCACCATCGCCCGCCTGCAGCGCCGCCGCCTGAGACGCGACACCGCGCGCGAGACGCCGGCCGCACCGCTGCTGCTTCAACCACCGCCTGCAGACCGCGTGCTGGACCGGTGGCAGCGGCGCCAGCGGCGCCTGGAGGCTGACGCTGCAACCTGGTTCTCCGTCTTCCCCGGGAGCGTGCGGCCGGTGAGCACGACCTGGCCGTGGACGATCAAGCCGGCGCTGGCGGTGCTCTGGGGCGTGTGCTGGCAGTTCTACGAGCCGCCGCCACCGTCGCCGCTTTCTGGCAGCTTCGATGCGGCTGACGGCGACGGGCGCGCCCGGGTGCGGGCTGCGAGCGTGCTGAAGGGGCTGGAGTGGTGGCAAGCTCCAGACGCCCGGGCAGGAGCGTGTGAGTTGGCCGTTCCATTCGTCGTTTTGGGTGCCTGAGGCTTCCGGGGCTGCCGGCCGGCGCTTTGGCACTGGCTGCGCCAACGCTGCCAGGCCAGCGCGCGCTGTGCTGGCAGCCCGGACACTCGCGCGGGGGCGGTGCTTGCTGAGCTTGCTGACGATGAAACTTGGCAGATCTGCAGTTCGGCCGGGACGCGGTTGCGACGGCTTTGGGGGGCGCGAGGGGGCAGCAGCTGCAGGCTGGAGACGGCGCTGCGGGCGGAGCGGAAGCGCCGGCCTTGGAATTCAGGAATCCAAATCTGCGCGCCCCCGCTGCCGCTCAGCCACAGCTCCGACGCAATCCTCGCAATCGACGCGCCCAAGGCTCCAACGCTGGTGAGTCATCCACGGGCCTGAGTGGCCCGCTGCGCTGAGCTTGTTTCTGACTCCGACCGTGCAGATCCGCGGCCGCCGACCGCCGCCGGCCATTTATATGCCAACGCGTTGTCGCCCAACGCGTCGCCCTGCGAAGCTCAAGCCTGCGAGTGGCCTTACGAATCAGCCTCAGGCATTGCCACCTTCGTGCCCACTTCCCACCACCTCTCGCTGCACGCCCGCACCACAACCACTTCGCTCCACGATCCCTTCGACTGGTTTTCCCACCATCAGGATCCCTCCCAGCTGACCCCGAGCCTGCCCGTTCCCGAGCTGCGCATCGAGGATTCATCTCTGCCGACCGCGCTGCAGCCTGCGCCTGTGCATGCGCCTGCATCGCCCGCCAACGACTATATATCGAGCCGGACCCTCTCGCCACGCCGCGCCGCCCTCTCATCCCCGTCTCTTTACGTTTCCCCCATGGACGCTGCCGTTGCCCACGTCCCGCAGGTGATGCCCGATTTTTGCAAGGCTTCTGGCCCCGTCAGTCCTGTCTCCATGAACGAGGAAGCCGCCGCTCAAATGTCGCCCGCCGCAATCTCGACCGTCGCCAACCCCCGGAAGCGGAAGCTGTCCGACGTCTCCCTCGCTGCCCATCCTGTGCAGCCCGCCGCCAACCCTCAGCTTCCCATCCGTGAGTCCTCCGAGGAGCAGGACCGCTACGACGGCTACACGCCGCGTGGCAAGTATTCGCACAAACGCACCGAGGACCCGCCCCGAAATGCCGAGGGCAAGATGGTCTGCAACTTTTCCTCCGACTGTCACGGTGTCACCTTCGATCGAAAGTGCGAGTGGAGGTGAGTCTTGCCCTTCTTCTTCCCCACCCCGTCCCCCCCACCAGTATCAACCTGCCTCACGTGTGTTTTGAATGCAAAACCCCACGCTGACACTCCCTGCAGCAAGCACATGGACAAGCACGACCGTCCGTATGTCTGCCGCCACAAGGGCTGCGAGAAGCTCCAGGGCTTCACCTACTCTGGCGGCCTGCTGCGCCACGAGCGCGAGGTGCACAAGATGCACGGCGGCACCAAGAAGGCCCTGTTCTGCCCGCACCAGGACTGCAAGCGCAGCATGGGCCAGGGCTTCACTCGCAAAGAGAACCTGGCCGAGCACATCCGTCGCGTCCATCGCCGTGCCAGCGGTTCCGACGCCGCCCCCTCCCCCACCGCTCAGCCGGGCGGCCAGTCGAAGCCCGAGGACGAAGGCGCTAGCGAAGCTGGCCTCAGCCCCGATGCCGAGGCCGATGAAGTTTACGGTGGTGCCGTCGGCGAGAGGCGTGTCGGCCCATCGCCGAGTAAGAAGAGGAGGATGTCTGGCACGGATGGTGGGGGCAGTGTCGGTGGGGGCGGTGGTGAGACTGACGAGGATGACCTGAGAGAGGAGATCAGGCGACTTCGTCGCGAGAATGAGGAGAAGGACGACCGGCTCAAGAAGCTGGAAGCAGCAGTGGAAGCCCTCAGTAGAGGGCAGGCCGCTCCCATGGTTTGATTGTTGTTCTTTTCCACCTTTCCCCGTTTCTTGTTTCACTTTTCGGTGTTCTGCGTTCGACATCATCTGGGATTGGGTATTGTTTCACTGGGCGAGGAAATCACGGCACCTAAGATTGCATAGCACGGCGTTGTTCGGATGAGCCAATGGACTGGTCAATCTTCCGATGGAATTTTTCAGCACGCAGGAAGGAGGAATTTGCGTTTCCACTATACTTTCTCCGTATTACACAAGTTCACTTGAACTTTTCTTTCTCTCTCCCCTCTTGTACGATGGTCATGGCTTTTCCCTCTTTTCCTTCACCCCTTCTCACGACCATCATGATATGAAAACTGGAATTGGCCTATCTGATGCTAGATCGCTCCTCTGTCACCTAGACTGCTGTATCAAATTTAAATTCATCTCAAACCATTGTTCCGCATCTGCCTGTCGATCATCCGAGCATACGCAGGCCTTGGTCTCAAACAAAAGAAATAAACACCCCATCAAGCCATCATCCCCATTCCACGTACATCCCATCAGACCAGTTGTCATCCCACCTCTCATGCCAAAGCCTCGTACGGCCTCAGGCCACAGAACGTGTGTCGCCGAGAAGAGAAACGAAGCCCCCCGCCCTAAAACGGGGCGCCATCTCCTGATAATCGGTATAAGCCGGGGCAAGGTGGGCGGTGCGGGGCGAGGGCATGATGACCCCACCACCAATCACTGGCCAAAAATAAAGAGTAGAGGACACACAGCTCCAGACCTTTTTCTTTTTTTGTTTTTGCGTGGTCGCCATATGTCACGATCCCCTCGCTGCCAGGCGCAGCTGATGCTACCCGAGAACGAAGCCGAGGCTGATCTCATGGGATGTCCTCGCTCTAGGTCTATGGTACATATTGTTGTTGCCTACAGCAATAATGTGCACGGGGTACATATGTGTGTGCTGGAGAAGGGGGGAGGCTGGGCTAGGCGCGCGCGGTGCTGGTGCCGGTGCAGTGGAGTCCAGTAGTGCCACACCATCGACCACGCATCAACCACCACCACCACCGCCGCCGCCGCCCGGCTTTGCTGTTCCTTCCAAGCCAAGCGTGGCGACGAAAGAGTACATAAATGACTCATGCGTACCGTGGCTAATAGCGAACGAACTGCCTACGTGCAGGCTGCGCATCGCCACACCACGTACCGTCCGTACCAGAGACCGACCCGAGCAGAGACCACACACACACACATGAAGTAAATGGACTAGGCCGGGAACAATGATGAAATGGATGCCTGCGTGGCCCCCGCGCGCAGCGGCGGCTCTAAGCCCGAAGCGGCAGGCGGATTGCACTCGGGCCCCAGCTATCGCAACCCGCGCATGTGATCGCGCGTTGCTAGCGCGTTTTGAATATCCCTGCTTTTTGGCCCCCGGAGGCCCTGCCAGCTGGCCAATGACGGCTGCGAGGTGATGGCTGGGTATTTGATTTGCCGCTTTGTGTTGTGCAACCCGCTTTGTCTCTCTTCTTGTTGTCTGATGTGTATGTGACACGCATGCGCTAGGGCGTCTGCGGAACCAGACGACGCAAGAAATAGTGGCTGAGGCGAGTGATGAGAGGTGCGGTGCAGCTGATTATGAATCCATCTTGCCGCACCGGACCGGGGCGGCTCTCTCCCTCCGTCTCCGCAACGGCCGGCTGGCCTCGCGGCCTCGCGGCCTCGCGGCATCATCTTGCTCGTTGTTCCCTCGCCGCAGCAGCCAGCGGCAGGGAGGGCGGGCGGAGCAAAGGATGATGACGATGATGACGATGATGCGATTTCTTTTCCCCCTCCCGTCGTCGGAAGACCAGCCGAGACGCTGCTTGATGACGAATTGTTTGCGACAATAGATGTGATTTGGATTTATTCTCACCATCCGCTTGGCCGGGACGGCCAATCGGAATCGAAATGCGCAGGGGAAGAGTAATTAAGGACGTCTGTATGGGGGCAATGGTCGCTGGGGGGCGAACAAAGGCTCGACAAGGCAACAAGGACTTCTATTTTAGCCACCCATCAATTGTTTTTCCAGCCTTGCGTGCATGCGTACGGCGATCGTTCCCAGGGTCGTGGAGTGGGGGTGGAAGGGTGGAGATTTGTTGGCTGACGCAAATCCCACCTGCGTTTGGGGGCCGATGTCGCGGCGGAGTTTCGCAACATCCACTCCGCTCCGCTCTCTAGGTAGCCGTCCCCTTTGGCTGGGAGGATTCACCGTCATCGTGTCTTTGTTGCCTTCGGAGTCGCTGCCTTGCGAAGTATTTGAGAATAACCAGGTGAAGCCTAGAAGCAACTTGCCTACTGGTTGCGATGCTGGAGCGTGCCCGCTCTGCCTACATGCTTGCCTACGACGAAAACAATCTGTGCCTTGTCCCGCGATCTAGTACAGGGAAGAGATGCCGCTATCCGCTAAATGCCAACCCTAAGTTGAGGCTCTAGGCAACAGGAGGCTGGAGTAAGCACTAAGGATTGCGGCTCTTGGTCCTGACACAAAGGCGCGGGGATATCGGCGGAACCCACGCGTGAATGCCTGATCGCAGCCTTGTGCTTGAGAGTCATCGTGAAATGTGGCTTGCGGCAATGGCCATCTCTCACCTCGTACTGATGAGGTGTGGCCGATGCTTGCCGAACGTGCCGGTGACTGCAAAAAGTCACCGGCCCAAATAAACATGGACCATCACGCAAGACAACGACGCCGCTGAGTAGTATCAACTAAGATGAATATAGATCCGCATAGATTACTCTGAGGCAGAGCTTTTGTATCGACGCCCGAACGAAATGTACACAATTGAAAACTTCCCGTACCTGCCGCTGTTGTCGCGAAATTCAGATCGCGACCCGCTGAGTATATTGACGCATGAAAGGAACAATGCGAATGCTGCAATGCTTTAGGAGCTCTCACTCTTCTCATCGTCACCCTTTGCGTTTGGTGGAATTGTCAGCACATCGTTCCCGGTCAAATGCGGATAGCTAGGGGGAATAGAATCCAAAAATCTCATACAGCAGGCCTGTTGGGGGAGACGGTGCCCTTCGTCTTCGCGGTGTCGACACCGCCCTCGGACTTCTTGCTCTTGGAAGGATCGCTGTCAACATCGGTGCTGTGCCTGGTGTCGGTGTTGGAGAGACCCTGCTGCTTGCCAGCAGTCTTGTTCTGGCTCGGAGGTCAGTGTACATGTTCACTTCGTAGCAATATGCGGACGTCATGATACCTGGTCCTTATCGGCGCCATCTTTCGAATCGCTACCAAGCTCCTTGCGGTAGTCGCTATCAATGCGCTTCTTGGAGGCTCCCTCCTTAGCGTCGTCCTGCGAAGAGCGGGTGTCCGGAGCCTTCTTGTCTTCACCGGCACTGCTTGGGCCCTTGAAGCGAGGTCCCTCGGAGCCCTCCTTGGGCTTCTCTTCCTTGGGCTGTTCCTTAGACTCGTCCTTGGATTCGTCCTTGGACTCGTCCTTGGACTCAGCCTTGGACTCCTCCTTGGACTCCTCCTTGGGTTCCTCCTTCGATTCTTCCTTAGGCTCTTCCTTGGGCTCCTCCTGCTTGGGCTCCTCCTTGGGGGCCTCCTCCTGCTTGGGCTCCTCATGCTTCTCCTCGTGCTTCTCCGCGTGCTCTTCGTGATGGCCGCCGTGGTGGGCCTCACCAGGCTGGAGCAGCCACCAGGTGCCGGGGACACCAAAGGCAACGGCGCCAATCAACCTACGGAACAATTAGTTTGATGCGAGCTCAATTGAAGCCGAAAGGTCCGAAGCGTTGAAGTGCAATGGCCAGCTACGCGCAAGCCGAATTGCTTATTCAACGCAAAATTCTTCAGAGCGATCGGCTTCCTAATTCCGCAGTACATACCAAGGAAGGTCGCTCTTAGCCTCACCGTGGCCGTGGCCACCGTGAGAGCTGCTGTAGGCGCGGCGCGACACAGATTGGGAGATGCGCTGCCATGGCTGCTGGCGGCCGGCGCTGCGGAGGCCGGTGCGGGCAACCGGACGGGCGAGCTGCTGAGCAGCGGCGCGGAGGACGGTAGAGCGGGGGAGAACCATTGTGAAGCTGCGCGACGAGCAATTGAACGGGGTGAGAGCAGATGGAAGTGGGAGAGAAGCTCAATGGACGGATGGAAGCTGGAAGAACAAACGGATGGCTGGGTTGGCGAGGCGAGGGCGACCACCGACATCATGTCATTCTTGCGCTTTGCCGGCGCAGCGCTAGCGGCCGAGCTACGGGCACCCGCGCCAAGCACGCCTCCAGGCTGCCCGCCAGGCCCCTCCACCCAAGTCGTCTGCAATAATCCTTCGCAACGTCGAGCACGCCTGCGCTGGCCGATCCACCAGTGCTGCGCCGTCGACTGCTGCCTCGCCTTCCACGGTCCTTTTCTCTCCGCAACTGCAGATCCTTTCCACTGCTGCCCCCACCTCCTGCTGCACCCTCTTTGCTGCACCGCTGCGCCAGCAACAGGATACGCCGTCATGTAAACATCTCCCACTCGAAGGCCTCGCTCGCTTGAATACCGACGTGCTGATGGCTTATTTGCTTCAGATCCTGCGCGTCACCCATCCCCGCATCAACTCCGAGCGGCGCAGCTCCATCTCGACCTCAAGCACCACACGCCCACCCCATTGTCAAAACCGCACCTCTCAGCATGAGCTCGGCGTACGACGGCCGGATCCCGTCCGCTCAGGATGTGGGCCGCCTGCTTACCAAGCTCTACGACAACGATCCGGACCTGCGGTACATGGCACTGAACGATCTGCAGGCCATGATGCAGTCCGGTCACCCGGGCTTCTTGCAGCACGATTACACCACCGCCGCCAAGCTCATCGACGGCTTCCTCCACACTTTGAATGACACCAGCGCCGAGGTGCAGAACCAGACCGTCAAGTGTCTTGGGCCGTTCGTGGCGAAGGTGCCCGAGACCATCATCTCGCCACTGATCGATCGCGTTTCGCAGGTCTCCACCTCCAACGCCGTGGACAACTCCATCCCCGCACTCGCTCTACGTAACATTGTCGTTTCGCTTCCCAAGCCCGTCGCCGGAATCCCGCGCAACCAATCCGTTGTTGGCGCCTACACCTCTGTCAGCAAGGTGCTCATCCCGCGCCTGGTGGGTTTCAATGTGGTATCCACCGGCAAGCAGAGCCTGCCGTCTGTACCCAAGAGCTTGTTGGAGGAGGATATTGCGAAGGGCACAGACAGCACCGCCATCGATGTGCTCATTGAGGTGGCCCGCTGCTTTGGCCCCATGCTGCAGGAACCCGAGCTTGTCGCGCTGCAACACACGGTCATGAAGATTATCCAGAGCGACCGCGCTGGTCCCGTCCTGAAGAAGAAGGCTGTCACCGCCATCTCGACCCTGGCCATCTACTTTTCCGAACAGACCCTCAGCAATCTCGTGTCCGGTCTCATTGAGAGCATGAGGGACGCTCACATCACCAGGGCGAAGAGGAAGGTCTACATAAACGTCCTTGGCGCAATGGCCCGCTCCATCCCGAAGAAGTTTGGCCCCTACCTGAAGACACTCGCGCCGTTTGTGTTGAGTGCAGTCAGCCAAATCGAGTTGGATGAGGAGCTGGAGGCTTGGGATGGCGAGGAGGAGCGCGACCCCGAAGCCGACGAGGTGCGCGAGGCTGCTTTGGTAGCACTGGAGAGCTTTCTGGGCTCGTGCTCACAGGAAATGCGCGTGTTCACCGATGAGGGCATTGACGCTGGCACTCGCTTCCTGAAGTACGACCCCAATCTGGCGACGGACGATGACGAGGACATGGATGACGAGGAAGAGGAGGATGCAGAGGGCCTTGATGATGAAGATTTTGAAGAGGAAGCCCAGTTTGATGATGAGGATGACGCAAGCTGGAAGGTCCGCCGTTGTGCCGCGAAGGTGCTTCACACCGTCATCGTGACCCGTAGTCAGGGCGATCTGCTGGAGGACGGCACTCTCTACGAACGTGTGGCACCGGCCCTTATTCCCCGATTCAAGGAGCGCGAGGAGAGTGTTCGCCTAGAAATTCTCGCCACGCTCTCGAGCCTTGTGCAGCAATCCAAGCCTGAAGTCCTCTCTACCGCTCGTGCCAACAGGGAAGCTTCAAACCTGGGCCTTATGGGCCCCCCGCCGTCGCGTAAGAGGAGGCGGGTTGGCAGCGATGCCAGCATGTTCGACCTGCATACTAACGCTTCTCTGTACGCCGGTATCGCGTCTACGAACGCTGACAGTCAGCCGCTTTCTGGTCCCCAAGAGAGCCTTGCCGCGCTGGTTCCTGACATCGTCAAGGGAGCGCTCCCTCTGCTCAAGACTGGAACTTTGCCCACGAAGCAGGCTACTATCAGTCTGCTGAAAGAAATCGTCATTACGGAGGGCGGCGGGCTCTCGGATTACCTCGATCAGATCGTTGATCCTGTCGTCGAAGCTTCCAAGGCCACCAGCTCCTCAACAGGCGGCTCATCCACGTCTTCGGCCACGGCAAATACACTGCGCATCGAGGCTCTGGTGCTGCTTCACGCCATCGCCGAAACCCACGCATCTACGTTGCTGCAGCCTTATCTTCTAAAGATTGTCCCGGCCCTGGACGCGGCGGCTAAGGAACGTTACAGCAAGGTTTCTGCGGAGGCTTTGGCGAGCGTTGAAGGTTTCATCAAAGCGTTCACTCCTCCGCGCGCCTCGACTGTCTCTGCCGAGAACAAGCCTTATCTGGAGCAGCTATTCGACATCCTAGTCAATCGCATCTCCGCAAATGATGCCGATGTTGAAGCCCGTCGCCGTGCCATTCATGTCTTGGGTCTTTTCATTGGCCGCAGCTCCGGTACGGAAGACTTCCTCTCGCAAGACAAGAAGAGGGCTGGTGTCGAGCTCCTTGGCCAGCGTCTTAAACAGGAGACGACCCGTCTTGCTTCGGTGCGCGCCATCGAGATCGCGACTGGTCTCGCGCAGAACAGCGCAGAATTTTCGCCCGAGTGGATCCAAGAGGTTGCTCTCGAGCTCGGTGCACAGCTGCGCAAGGCTAGCCGCTCTCTGCGCGGCTCTAGCTTGATCGCTCTCAGAACCATCGTCATTAACCCCGTCACTCGTGCTCACCTAGATGCTAAGACTACGAAGGAGATTGAAGAGATGCTTCTGCCTCCGATCAAGAACAGCGATCTGCACTTGATGGGCCCGGCGCTAATTATTCTTGCGACGTTCGTGTCTAACGACCCCAGCAACGTTGTCAACGAGCAGCTCGTCGATGCGCTCAAGGAGGTCGTCACCTCGACGATGAGCGGTAGTGCCCTCGACGCTCTTCTGGCTTTGGTACGGGCTGTTGCTGAGAAGAGCGCTGGCGGTGCTCTGATGAAGTCGCTGCTCCGCGATGTCGGTATTGCGGGCAATCCCGATCTCATTGGCAAGGTGATAGGCACCCTGCTTGTTTATAGCAAGTCGGGTATCGACGTGAAGTTGGAAGACTTTGTGCAGGAGCTGCAGACTGCCTCGGATGAGAAGCGCAAGTGCTTAGCTTTGGCGGTGCTCGGCGAAGGCGGGTTGCGTCTGGGACAGGAGTCGCCCCTCGACCCGAAGTTGTTCGTTGCTCGCTTCAGCGATGCCGGTCAGGTGCCGTTGGCGGCGGCAGTCGCACTTGGAAGGGCAGGTTCTTCGAACGTGAAGACGTACATCCCCTTCATCATCTCGACTCTCAACCAGCCGGACGCCAAAACGTATCTCTTGCTGCACTCGATCAGGGAGATCCTTCAGTATCGCAGCGCGGATGCTGATCTGCTCCCCTTCGCGCAGGATCTATGGCAGCATATCATCAAGGCATCGCAACAGGAGGACAACAGGGCGGTTGGCGCCGAGTGCATTGGAAGGCTCACCATCATCGACCCCAAGACATTCCTTCCTCAGCTCCAGGTAATGACCCGCCACAGACAGATGCCTAAACATGCTAACCACACGGAAAAGAAATTCTTGGGAGAAGCGGATGCCAGCGCTAGGGCAATGGTCATATCAGCACTGCGCTACACTTTCGCTGATACGGATGAGGCGTACGACGACTTCCTGCGACCGATTGTCATCCCGATGCTGGCGGCGATGCTCCAGGAGACGGACCTGGATAACCAGAGGCTGGCGCTGACGACCATGAGCTCGGCGGTGCACAACAAACCGGAGCTGGTGCTGCCGCACTTGACGGAGCTCCTGCCCCTGGTGATGAGCCAGACGCAGGTCAAGCCAGAGCTAATTCGCGAGGTGCAGATGGGACCTTTCAAGCACAAGGTCGACGATGGTCTCGAGGTGCGCAAGAGCGCGTACGAGACGCTGTACACGCTGCTGGAGACGGCTGTTGCGCGTCTCAACCTCGCCGACTTCTTCGAGCGCATCATCGCGGGCATCACGGACGAGCACGACGTGCGCACGCTCTGCAACCTCATGCTAACCAAGTTGGTGCACCTGGCACCGGATGAGACGAAGCAACGGCTGACGACGATTTCGGATCATTTCCGAGCAGTCATCTCGACTAAGGCCAAGGAGAACGCGGTCAAGCAGGAGATTGAGAAGATCGAGAAGAGCGCCAAGGGCGTGATCAAGGTTTCGATCGACATCAACAAGAGCCTCAACGTGGGCAGCGTCGAGGGCGGCAGCGTGGAGGATCCCAACCACAAGGCTTGGCAGAGCTACTGGGAGTGGGTCAGGAAGGAGCACGCGGCGCCGCTCAAGACAGTGGAGGAGGAGAGCCGGGCGGAGAGGGACCGGTAAGAGATGGATGATGTTGATACGAATCTGGACGTTATTGGGGGCGGAATTGCGATGGTTCTTCAAGCATCAGCGACATAGGCATCTCCCACCAAAAGAGAGTGGATAGGAGAATTGATAGTGGATCTTAATTTCTCGAGGCGTGGAGTGGAGACGGGTGTGCCTGTTCCTGGCGAGGCGCTGCAGGGTGAGCGGCTGCAGGCGGCCTGACTCGGCAGGCTGGGGACGTCGCGGACTCGAGGGTCGAGGCCTTTGTGGTGGAGCGGGCACGGGCAGGGCGCGGAAGGCGGGAGGCGGGCTGCGGCGGGCTGCGGCGGGCTGCGGCGGGCTGGCGTGGAGGCTCGCGGTTTGAGGGCGGGTTCGATGGCTTGGCCAGGCGTCAGGCTGCGGTGGCCCCATAGTGCTGAGGTTCCTTACATGGTGGAGGCGAGGCGTTAAGCGCCCGGGCGGCGATCATTCCCCGGCTGGGCCATGCTGCGCCGCGTCGCCTTCTCGCCGGCCAACAGCCACTCGCCATCGCCCTGCTACCCGCCTCTGCAACGCGACCCAAAGCTCGGCCAGCCCCACGCCGCCCATGTCGTGCAGGCCAATCGCGGCTCCAGGCGGGCTCGCGCACCACGGCTCGCACGGCAAGGAGCAGCCTGGTGTCTGCCCGCCGCTGAGGAGCTTGCCCAAGCTATTCTTGCGCGCTTGCGACACCTGCTATATTTCACGAATCTTCCGCCGATCTAGTGCTGATGCTGACTACTGCCGCATTGGTAGCTGCAGGCCAGCTCCAGGACTCGTGTGCGCTCACGTCATTGCCCTAGCCTGGCGACTGCCTGTTCGTCTCGACCTTAACCTCGTCGCATGCTCCGAGTGTCGCCAGACTGCAGTCGGCATACCTCACGCGCCGCCATGGATCCTCGCCGCCAGTACCCGCAGCCACATGCGCCCTCGCAGCAGCCCTCGCAGCAGCCCTCGCAGCAGTTCGACGAGCACTACTACTACCCGCCCCAGCAGCCCCAGCAGCCCCAGCAACAACAGTACCCGCAACATCACCAGCTGCACCCGCAGCCACACCTCCAGCAGCTGCACCACCAGCACCACCAACATCTTGCCCAGCCTTCCAATCCGCGCTTCTCCTGGCAGATCCCCTTGACCGACGCCGAAAGACTACCAATCCACCAGCTCGATCCCGCCCCTCCATCTCCGCCCCCGCAGCAATCACAACCGCAAGCGCGCCCGCGTGCCCAATCGCCACCCCAGTCGAGTCGCTTCTCCTTCGCACAAACCCCGATTGAGGTCCAGCAGCCCCATTTCCAGCAATATGCCCACGCACGCCACCCGACCGAGCCCACCATCCCACACTCGCCCGACTCGATACACGCTTCGAACCTGAACTCGCCCGCCACCGAGTTTGGCGATCTGTCGGCCATCAGCACCGCTGCTCCACAACTACCGGCGCCCCGCATGTCGCGGCCGCTGTCCAAGGAGATTGGGGAAGATTTGGGACCCGAGGGAAGGGTGCCCGAGGAATACGCCCGGCCGATGCCGCAGGAGCCGCATCCCGCCTTCTTCGCGCCGGTCGTGGATACTTCGCCGAGAGGGAGTATAGCTGCGCCGAGGCAGCGACAGCAAAGCCTCGCCCAGAGCGTCGCGCAGTCGGACCATTCGCAACAGCAGCTCCACCATGGCTATGACGCGCAGCCGCAGCCGCCAGCATCACCCGGCCCCATCCCCATCAAAACCGAGAGGGATGACAGCAGGGCTACCGACAACGTCCCAATATCACCCATCTCTCCCACCTCTCCCACCGAGCCGTACAGCCCGCACTCGAACGTTCCGTCGTCGCGGCCGCCCATATTTGCGCCAGACAATCCCAGCGGGCCCAACGGTATGCTGACCGCGGAGCATAAACCTGGACAGATCCCTCACCCGAACATGGACCTTGAGGCAACTGGCTCGAAGCGCCGGTGGAAGCACTCAATCTGCGAGTGTAGCGGTGACGTTACGATCTGCATGACCGGAGTCTTCTGTCCGTGCGTGGTCTACGGCAAGACGAGCTACCGGCTGGGTTTGAAGAGCGAGAAGAAGGACCCGACCGAAATGCTGGGCTGGAGCTGGGCCAACACCCAGTGCAGTCTCATGGCCATGGCTACGTTTTGTGGCTTGTGCGGTATGTAATCACCCTTCTCTGTCTCGGAATCCTCGCGGCCTGTTTTGAATTGGTCCAGCCTTTGACCCGGACAGCTGCATTAGCCAAGACGAAGGCAAAATTTGCTAACACGGGTACCCAACAGGTCTCTTCCCCCTCCTTCACAGAACCCGTCTTCGCCACCAGTACCAGCTGGAAGGCTCGCTGATGTCCGACATTGTAAAGTCTTGTTGCTGTTGCTGCTGTTCCACCATCCAGAACGAACGCGAGATGCGGGATAGGGAGGAGCAGGCCAACAGATGGGCGGGACCGTCCGGCGGTGCGGCATACGAACGGCCAAGTCCGATGGTGTACGAGCCCCCTCCGAGAGGCTGAAAGAGGCGTTTGAATAGAAAAGGCGGGGGGTTTGCGTGGTACAGGAGTGGGGTGGGAAAGACATTCTTTTCCTGACTTCCGATGCTGCTGTGCATTCTCATCTTTTGCGGCATTCTTTTTTTTTTCTTGTCTATCTCTTTCTCGCCGTGGGAAAACGGGCAGGGAATTGGCGTTTTCGAGACATATACCCTTTCGGCAAATCAGCGCGCCGTTTCTTTGCTGGTCTCTTTCTGTATCGTTTGTATACGACGTCTGGAGAAGACGAACGGGACTCTTTCTACCAATGAAATTTTCTCTTTGTTAGTTCCCTCTCAGTGGGGCGTACGTCAAACATTGGTTACTCTCTTCCACATGACTTGGAAGATCCTTTGTACCGCCCTGCTTCATCAATTTCATCTAGTCAAACTTTGATCCGCTCTCCACTGTTTACCTTACGCCGAGTGGTGTGTCTCGTCTTGATAATCTGTTTGGTCAGCTATCTTCTGAATCATGGGCATGGCGGGGGTTTTGCTTGCGGATATTGGCGGTATGGAAGAGTGGAAGGGAGGAAGCTGGATGAAGTATAAAAGAGAGGGGG